AGGCTAAAAAATTGTGAGCTAGCTCACACTAACTCAGCTTAGAGGGAACACTGGTGATGACACGTGTGTACATGTGTCTGCATGTGGGAAGCTGCTAGCCCAAGCACAACATTGCCATGGGCAGAAAATAAACCAGTGTGTTCCTTCTAAGCTGAGTTAGTGTGAGCTAGCTCACAATTTTTTAGCCTCCAGCTCACACACTTTTGCCTTGGCTCAGGAAGGAGGGCTCCAGACCAAACTAATTTAATGCAGTAGCCAAATTGCTCGCTCACAACTTTAATGCCAGTAGCTCACAAAGTAGAATTTTTGCTCACAAGACTCCACAGCTTAGAGAGAACTTTGGTTTCCAGGTAGTGGAACCTCCAAGCTCAGAGGCAGTCAACCTCTGAGTCCCAGTTACAGGAGGCAACATCAGGGGAAGGTTTCCCACCTCTATGCCCTGTTGTTGGCCTTCCAGAGGAACTGGCTGACCCCTGTGTGAGACGGGATGCTGGACTGGATGGACCCTCAGTGGTCTGATCCAGCAGGGCTCTTCTAATGTTCCTAGTCAGGAATCCGATGGACCTGTCCAAGGTCCTGCAGCATCTGTGTTTCTGCATCCCAAGAGACCACAGGATGGTTTTCAGAGTGGCAGTGCTCACAGTAACAGTGGTGCATTTTACCTGGGAAGCCACAGGCTCAGTGATACGTGATTCCTCCCCGCCCCCACCCCACCCCAGGCAAAAGCTGAGCTACTCAGCCTCCCAATAATTTTTTATTTTTTGAAAAATATTTTTGCAATAATTTGTACATATATAATAAATCGTCTTAATCAAAAATATCAAAAATCATCTCCAAGAATCTCAAAAGCTATCGTACAACCTTTAATAATAGTCCTCCTCTGTTAAATAAAAGTTTCAAGAGGGAGGACTCCTTAAAGTCTCTTTAGAACATGTGCTCGTGTCTTCCTCCAACAGAGGTCCAGATATCCTTCTGTTTCCAAATCTCCCTCAGGGAGTTCAACAATAATTTTCAGCACAAGGTTGCCACATACCAAAGTTTTAATCCAAAGTTCCCTTCGATGAACGCTGCAAAAAAATTTTTTTGATGAGCTACAAGCCTCCTCCAAAGTGAAAAGCACATTCTTTAGCATTGCAAAGTACTTGTTGTATGTTGGTTTTCCTACTTATCATGGGTCAGAGGTCATTTCGGGGGGGGATCACGGGGGATCGCAGTTCCCCCGGGTGAGGTGCGAGGGGGCGGGGCACACGATGAATCCCCGTCCCCTGCTTCCGGTTGCCCCACTTCCAGCCCTCATTCAGCCAGGAGGAGGCAGGAGAAGAGGGAGGGTAAGTTGCTTCCTCCCCACCTCTCCCCACCCCTGCCTGCCTGGGGCCAGGGAGGGACTTGGGGGGCTTCCTCGCACTCCCGCCGGCCTTGCAGGTCCACCGCCAGGCCCCTGATGTCAGCGGGCATGGCATATGCTAATAAGTTATGCTAATGAGTTCCCCTAGCTCTTTTTCTACGAAACGACCCCTGGTTCCGATACATAAAGATAGAAGACGACAACGATGGTATATGTCAACATCCATCAACACATATATATAATATTATTTATAAGCTTATAGACTCTTGGTTAGAAGAAGACGTTTGTCGAAATGGCTTCGCATTCCAGAGACCACCATCCCGTCGTTGTCATCTTCTATCTATATATATCTGAACTTACACAAGGGGCTAGGCATCTGTTGTTTCCCCATTGCAGCTTCTGCTGCCAATACCACAAAGCTGCAACGGGGCTTCCTCATGGCTGGTTTCCCCATATTACCTCCACCCACACCACTATGGCTTTCTAAGGACCATTCTTTAAACAGGAATTGGATATCAGTTCATGGATTAAATGTTATAATAAGATTTGTAAAAATTCTCTGAATTCCCCAGCTTTTATTTTAAAAAACAAAAAGTCAAGCCAATTTGTTATGGAAATATGCTGTCCCCTTTTATATCTCTCCAAAAAAGGTAGTGGTGAATAACCACTTTGTGTGTAAAACTGGGACTCCCCTCCCACACAATCTCTGTTTTAAGATGGAGAGAGAGAGATCTGACTCTTCATTCATCTTGCTCTCCATGTGCTTGTGTGTCCATGAATATGAACTTGCCTGTGTTGAGAGATCTGCAGCCCTTCCCCCTTTCTTACACACCCAGGGAAATGCCGATTGCCACTTTGGGGTCAGGATTCAGGAAGCAGTTTTACTCCAGGCCAGTTTGGCTGGAGATCCTGGAGGGGTTTTTTTTGCCATCTTCTGGGCATGGAGCAGGGGTCACCTTGGATGTGGGGGGAAGATATTTGTGAATATCCTGCATTGCGCAGGGGGTTGGACTAGATGACCCTGGAGCTCCCCTCCAACTCTGTGATTCTACGATTCTATGAAACACATTCCCAGACATCCCATGTAAAACTCACAAATTGTGGAGGGAGAATCAAGGAAAGAAATCCTATCAGGGAAGTCCCAGGATCAATAATATAGAGAAAATCCACAGTTTATTATATGTGAAGTGCCACAGTTATGTTTTCACGAAACAACACATGTCAGCTCCTCGGATATGCGTGCCAAGCTGCGTTTGGTTACGACGACTGTGCCAAGACGTGCCTGTCATTCAATTAGGAGAAGTTTTACGAAACCGTTGTGTTTTGAAGCACTGGGCCCGCCCCACGGGTGCTCGAAACAGGTTGGTCCGTAGGCACAAGGGTGGCGAAAGGGCAGAATAGGAATTCAGGCATACAGTTCAGGTTGCCTAAGCTAGGATGGACATAAGCAGGCTGTCGGCAAGGGACCAATCAGAAGATGGGGGTCCAGCCAACGGTGTACACCAAGGCCAAAAATTTGGGGGAAGCCGGAGCAGAACGGAGCCAGGATGAAGCGGGGTCCAACTCCACAAGGAGCTCAGTCAGGTCACCTGAGTGACCAACTGGATTCTGTCCCAATCTGTCCAAGCAAGTGACAGAACCCCGTGAGAACTGGCGGTGGATCAATTGCCATATCAGAAGAGGCTTGTCAATTAGGGTAGGAAGATAGTGCGGGAAAGCTTGTTAAGGGGCGCCCGTGTGCTGTGAAGCAGCGTTCCCGCTAAGCCGAGTTAGCGTGAGCTAGCTCACAGCTTTTTCGCCTCCGGCTCACACATTTTTGTCTCGGCTCAGGAAGGAGGGCTCCAGTGCAAGCTAATTGATGCAGCAGCCAAATGTGCTCGCTCACAACTTTCATGCTCACAAAGGAGAATGTTTGCTCACAAGACTCCACAGCTTAGAGGGAGCATTTTAAAAAAATACACGGGGCAATGAAAGAATGTGTTGGGTCCGCTCCCCATGTTTTGTTTCGGAGACCTTTGTCTCCTAGGCAAGAAATCCCGGCATTGGGCAGAAGCCCCACTAGCCACGTAGAGGGCTGTAAGGGACACAAAGGTTGGAAGAAGCGCCCTAGCCACGTGTGAGAGGGGCAGGGGGGCAGCGTGGCCTCCGGATGGAGTCCTGTCCTCCTCCTCCTTCCCTCTTTGTTCTCTTGAGAGCCTGCAATTTGCCGGGGAAAGAGGTCCCGGCCAATGCTTCCCTCCAAGCCGTGGAGTCTTGTGAGCAAAAATTCTACCTTGTGAGTTCCCAGCACTAAAGTTGTGAGCGAGCGATTTGGCTGCTGCATACATTAGTTTGCTCTGGAGTCGTCCTTCCTGAGCGAAGGGGGAAATGTGTGCGCCGGAGGCTAAAAAACTGTGAGCTAGCTCACACTAGTTCAGCTTAGAGGGAACACTCCCAGCCGGCCTGCCGACTCGGTTTCTGAAAGTGACAAGATGCACCAGAAAGGAGGGCACCCTTTGGGCTGGGTGAAGTGAAAAGGTTCTTGATCGGCTCCGGTGTGTGGGGGCAGTTTCTTCCTCTCTGCCCTGCGGTTAGATATAACGAAACAAAAATGCAAGGGTAGTCCATCAACGAATATACAAATTTCACAAGTTGCCAGTAGACACGAGTCTATTGAAAGATGGTAACATTACACCAATAAATAAAGTAGAATTGGTGGCCACAGTTCAAAGATAATGGTCACAATCCATAAATAAAGATTAATACTGAGTATTAATGTGAATCAGAGCAGCAGACTCCTGAAGATGTTATCTTTTAAACTTGACTCAATTCTATGGGAATCATAGCTCACATAGCATCTATGTGTAGGTGATCAGATTTAGTACTAACTTAGTTTGTTATGACTGTTGATGTAAAAATCTCTGTTGATGACTAACTGGTTGGTTTGTAATTTTGGATTTTCCGGACAGTTGTATACTGTTTTGCAGTTATTATATTTCTTGATATGTTATACTGCCTTTTAATAAACATTTTAAAAATGAAAAAAATAAAATTAAATAAAAGACTAAAAAAAAATACTGAGTATGACAAGAACCCTGGATTCCATTTGAGAGATGAGCTGTGCCTAGACTGTTGTGGAAATCTGGTTCTGTTTTTCAGCCGTGTAACTGAGGAAGAATCTTTTGAAACGTCTGGCATACCTGGGAAGGGCGCCTTGTTTGGATTGCTTAAGTTTCTTTGTTCTTTGGGACATCCTCTGCCTCGTTTGTGGACTTCGAGGTCCTTTGGACACTATTTCATGAAAGGGTTCAGAGGAGTCTCTTGTTGTTTACTACCATCGAATTGTCATAGCTATTCTTGTCATACTCAGTATTCATCTTTATTTATCTTTATTTATGAATTGTGACCATTGTCTTTGAATTGTGACCACCAATTCTACTTTATTTATTGATGTAATGTTACCATGTTTCAATAGACTTGTGTCTACTGGCCACTTGTGAACTTTGCATATTTGTTGACGGTGTGCCCTTGCGTTTTTGTTTCTCTATACATTATGTACGCTTGGGGTCCCTATTGTTTGGCTTATCTGCGGTTAGGTATCGCACAGGAAAAGGGGGCAGCAGACGTAGGCGAGTGCCGCTGAAACCCCACTCTCTCCCGCTCCCCAATTTTGCAGGCGCCATTCGAAGGTGAAGACGAGGACGAGCTCTTCCAGTCCATCATGGAACACAACGTGGCGTACCCCAAATCCATGTCCAAGGAGGCCGTGGCCATCTGCAAAGGGGTAGGGGCGCACTTGATGCCATCTTGGGGGAGGGGGGGATGAATACGAGGCCAGGAGGTGCCAGTTTCAACGTCCCCTCTTGTGTGTTCATTAATTTTATTTTTGTGTCGTGTTTGGTGTAGTGGTTAAGTGCGCGGACTCTAATCTGGGAGAACCGGGTTTGATTCCCCACAAGTTCTTTCAGAGCTGTCCTTGAAAGGGCAGTCCTTGAAAGAGCTCTCTCAGCCCCTCCTACCTCACAGGGTGTCTGTTGTGGGGAGAGGAAGGGAAAGGAGAGTGTAAGCTGCTCTGAGACTCCAAGTGAAGGGTGGGATATAAATCCAATCTCCTCCTCCTCCTCTTCTTCTTCCTCTTCTTCTTCCTCCTCCTCTTCTTCTTCTTCTTCGTCTTCTTCTTCGTCTTCTTCATCATCTACTTCTTCTTCCTCTTCTTCTTCCTCCTCCTCTTCTTCTTCTTCTTCGTCTTCTTCTTCGTCTTCTTCATCATCTACTTCTTCTTCCTCTTCTTCTTCCTCCTCCTCTTCTTCTTCTTCTTCGTCTTCTTCTTCGTCTTCTTCCTCCTCCTCTTCTTCTTCCTCTTCTTCTTCCTCTTCTTCTTCTTGTATTAGATTTCTATCCTGACCTTTCCAGGAGGCTCAGGGCAGATTACAACCATAAAACCACAATTGCATATAAAAATACATAATAATGTAAGATGATAAAACTGGACACTGGCCATTCATAAATAATCCATAAAATATAGGGAAGGGAAGGGATGGATGAGTTCCAGGAGGGCCAATTGAATGAGATCAGGCGAAGGCCTCCCTGAACAAGACTGACCTGCAAGCCCTGCGGAAGCTCGGACGGTCCCGCAGGGCTCGACCCTCGTCTGGCAAGCAATGCTCCCTCTAAGCTGTGGAGTCTTGTGAGCAAAAATTCTATCTTTGTGAGCCGCCGGCATTAAAGCTGTGGCTACTGCATACATTAGTTTGCTCTGGAGCCCTCCTGCCTGAGCGAAGACAAAAATGTGTGCGCCGGAGGCTAAGAAACTGTGCGCTGGCTCACATGAACTCAGCTTAGAGGGAACACTGCCAGCAAGGCATTCCTCCAGGACGGGGCTAAGGTGGGAAAGGCCCTTGTCCCGGTGGGAGCCAAGCGGACCTCTGGGGGCCCGGCCCCACCAACAAGCCACGCGACGCTGAGCGCAGCATAAGAAAGGGATTCTAGTGAGGCGAATCATAACGCCAGTCCCCCAAAAGGGCGTGGTTTTTAAGCCCTCCTCCCATCCGGAAATTTGGATTCAGGAGTCAGCGTGGGCGAGGAGTGCAGAGTCTTGGGTTCAAGTCCCCCCCTCTGCCAGGGAACTCACCAGCTGACCTGGGACCAGTCGGTCTCTCAGCCTCGCCCGCCTCTCAGGGTTGTTGTGAGCATAAAAAGAAGGAGAGGAGAGACACAGGCACCACCCTGAGCCTCCCCCAGGAGGAAGGGCGAGCGCAAAAGGGAGGCCTCCAAACACCCGCTTAATCCCAGGGTGTCCCTTGTGTGTAGGGGGGGGAGTGTGGAGCTGGGAGAGCTTCCCTTCTCTTCTGGGGCTGCTTGAGAAGTGAAACGAGTCTTCCGCTCTGTGCTGCTGCTTTGGCCATCAACTGCGTTCAGAATCGCCTCTTTCCCCAAAACGGGGCAGCGCCTGGCTCGTCCCGGCCTTTCGGTGGCTGGGGGTGTGTGTGTGAGAAAAAGCCCCTCGGGGGTTCCAGGAGTCACAGGACAAGGAGTGAAGCCACATTTCTGGGTCTCCCAGCGGTCGACGTGACTCCGGAACTGCAGCTTCGTGGGCTTCTTCACATTGGTCCCCTCCTCCGCTTGGGATGCAACGCTGACTTCTGCCTCTTCCCTGCTCTGGGTTGGCCTCCTCGTCTGTGATCAAAGCCAAAGTGGGGGACGTTTTAGCCACATTCAGGCTTCACTGACCTGGCTGACCAAGGCCAGTTCAGTTGCGTCAGATCTCGGAAGCTAAGCTGGGTCGGCCCTGGTTGGTACTTGGATGGGAGACCGGCGAGGAAGCCGCCCAGGGTTGCTACGCAGAGGCAGGCAGTGGCCAACCACCTCTGCTTGTCTGACTTAGATGGCCCAGGCTAGCCTGATCTCATCAGATCTCGGAAGCTAAGCAGGGTTGGCCCTGGTCGGTACTTGAATGGGAGACCAGCAAGGAAGCCGCCCAGGGTTGCTACGCAGAGGCAGGCAGTGGCAGACCACCTCTGCTTGTCTGACTTAAAGGGTCCAGGCTAGCCGGATCTCATCAGATCTCAGAAGCTAAGCAGGGTTGGCCTTGGTCGGTACTTGGATGGGAGACCAGCAAGGAAGCCCAGGGTTGCTACGCAGAGGCAGGCCTGGGCCAACCACCTCTGCTTGTCTGACTTAGATGGCCCAGGCTAGCCTGATCTCATCAGATCTCGGAAGCTAAGCTGGGTCGGCCCTGGTCGGTACTTGGATGGGAGACCAGCGAGGAAGCCCAGGGTTGCTATGCAGAGGCAGGCAATTGAAAACCACCTCTGCTTGTCTGACTTAGAGGGTCCAGGCTAGCCGGATCTCATCAGATCTCAGAAGCTAAGCTGGATCGACCCTGGTTGGTACTTGGATGGGAGACCAGCGAGGAAGCCCACGGTTGCTACGCAGAGGCAGGCGATGGCAGACCATCTCTGCTTGTCTGACTTAGATGGCCTAGGCTAGCCGGATCTCATCAGATTTCGGAAGCTAAGTTGGATCGACCCTGGTTGTTACTTGGATGGGAGACCAGCGAGGAAGCCCAGGGTTGCTACGCAGAGGCAGCCGGTGGCAAACCGCCTCTGAACGTCTCTTGCCTTGAAAGCCCCACGGGGGTCACCACCATTAGCAGGCTGTGACTTGACAGCCCTTCCCACCACTACCACCATGCAGGGTCGGCCCTGGTTAGGACTTGGATGGGAGACGACCAAGGAAGCCCAGGGTTGCTACGCAGAGGCAGGCGAGGGCAAACCCACCTCTGAACATCTGCCCTGGCCTGGATCGCCTGGCCTAGCCCGATCTCCTCAGCTCTCAGAAGCTAAGTGGGGCCAGCCCTGGTTAGCATTCGGATGGGAGACTGCTGCTACACAGAGGGGTGGGGTCTGATCTTTCTCCAGAGCTGCCGTTGCCACTGAAGGGAGCTGGACGGAGCATCCACCCTCCCGCATCCTAGGAGTAACAGTGGTGAGTGGTCAGAGGCCGGAGCCGTGATAAATTTGCCGCCGGCTTTATTTCCTCTCCCGTCACTCTCGCCCCGGATGCGGCGCATTGGCAGGACGCAGTGCTGATTAAAACATCTGCCGGATTTTTCCGGTAATGGCTTTTCGCGCTCTCCTGGCAAACGCCGAGGAGGCTGAAGCAGGCAGGTTGGCGGGCAGCTTCTCGCGCTTGCATCAGCCCTGCCTTCAGTTTTTTTGGGGGACGCACCCGACACCAGCCCCCCATGACATTATAACGCCACGAAGAATTATGCAGATCTCTCTCCCGATCTCAGACAATAGCGGGCTGGGGGAGGGGGGGAGAAACCCTGACAAGGCCGTGACATTTTCTGGCTTCGGAAAGCTCCGGCTACAATCTCCGGAGCTTGTCTGGGCTACGGGCTGCTTCCCCGTGACGGGAAAGGTCAGAGAGCTTCCCGTTAATGAGCCTCCCAGGCGCCTTCCTTGGTGGGGGTGCAGGGAAGTCGGGCCGGATGTTCGGCCAGCTGAAGCCGGTGAGAAAAACACATTTTGGAAAGACGTGTTCGCATACAAACAGGAAGGGACATGTTTGTTCAGCAGCTGGGTCCTCCGGTGACAATTGGAGAGGATTTGCTTCTCTCTCTCTCTCTCTCTCCCCCCCCCCCCCCATTTGTGCTGAAGCCATTCAACGTGTGGCGCCGTTGTGACTTTGGGAAGCAACCGAAGACACAAAGCGAATGCCTTTCTGGGTGACCCGAACGGTCTCCTCCATGGAAGGGGGTCGGCGCCTCCAACGACCCAGGGCCGCTCCGTGCCAGTCTCTGCAGGGCAATGCCAGGCCTCGGGAGGCAGGGTCATGAGCAATGTTCCCTCTAAGCCATGGAGCCTTGTGAGCAAAAATTCTACTTCATGAGCTGTTGGCATTAAAGTTGTGAGCGAGCGATTTGGCTGCTGCATAAATGAGTTGGCTCTGGAGCCCTCCTTCCTGAGGTAAGACAAAAATGTGTGAGCCGGAGGCCAAAAAACTGTGAGCTAGCTCACACTAACTCAGCTTAGAGGGAACACTGGTCACGGGGGTACCTGTCGCATCCCACGAGGCTGGCCAGTCGCCTCTGCAGCTGGTTTCCTGCTCCCTGCACAGCTCAGTCTCCTGCTGAGGGGAGGGAATGGTGGGCGCCTTGAACCCCGCGGGCCCAAATCGTCCTGGTCCCTGCCTGGCCTGCTACGCTCTCAGGACTTGGGACATGATGTTGGAAAGGGGGCAGTCTTCTGGGTGGCCAGGAACACCATGTGAGAGGCCCAGGGCAAGGAGATGGCCCTGAGCTCCGATCCTTCCGGTAGCTTGTGGGTCAGTCCCTGATGGACCCTGAGCCCTGGGGCAGGTTCCCTCCTTCCTGTGCCATCAGGCCTGCCAGTTAGAGGAGGGGTCTGCAGCCCATTCCTGGCACACCAGCATAGCCCCCACGCAGCATGTGTGAGTGACCCCGGGGATCCCACCGTCTGCTATCTGGGCCCCTCTTGTCACTGGAAGAAGCTGTTGGGCTGCCCCTCTGCCCGTCCAGTCTTTCCCAGCATGCTTTCAGTTCAGGTTTTAAAACTGCTTTTCTATTGGGTTGGACGAACATATGGAGCGGAGGTCCATCAGTATCTATTAGCCACAAGGTCTAGAGGGAGCACTCTGTCTGGGGCAGTGACGCTCTGTCTTCTTGGCGCTTGGGGGGAGGCAAGGGCGGGAGGGCTTCTGGAGCTCTGGCCCCACTGGTGGACCTCCTGATGGCCCCTGGGGTTTTGGCCACTGTGTGACACAGAGTGTTGGACTGGGTGGGCCATTGGCCTGATCCAACATGGCTTCTGTTATATTCTTACGTCTGGGGCAGTGATGCTCTGTCTTCTTGGTGCTTGGGGGGCAACAGTGGGAGGGCTTCTCAAGTTGTGGCCCTGCTGGTAGACCTCCTGGTGGCCCCTGGGTTTTGGCCACTGTGTGACACGGAGTGTTGGCCTGGGTGGGCCACTGGCCTGATCCAACATGACTTCTCTTATGGTCTTATGTCTGGGCTAAGTGATGCTCTGTCTTCTTGGTGCTTGGGGAGCAACAGTGGGAAGGCTTCTGGAGTTCTGGCCCCACTGCTGGACCTCCTGATTGCCCCTGGTATTTTTTGGCCACTGTGTAACACAGAGTGTTGGCCTGGGTGGGCCATTGGCCTGATCCAACATGACTTCTCTTATGTTCTTATGTCTGGGGCAGGGATGCTCTGTCTTCTTGGAGCTTGGGGGCTTCTCAAGTTGTGGCCTCGCTGGTGGACCTCCTGATGACCCCTGGGGTTTTGGCCACTATGTGACACTGAGTGTTGGACTGGATGGGCCATAGGCCTGATCCAACATGGCTTCTGTTATATTTCTATGTCTGGGGCAGTGATGCTCTGTCTTCTTGGTGCTTGGAGGGGGAAACAGTGGGAGGGCTTCTGGGGTTCTGGCCCCACTGGTGGACCTCCTGATGGCCCCTGGGGTTTTGGCCACTGTGTGACACCAGATGGGCCACTGGCCTGATCCAACATGGCTTCTCTTAGCTTCTTATGTCTGGGGCAGGGATGCTCTGTCTTCTTGGTGCTTGGGGGGCTACAGTGAGAGGGCTTCTGGGGTTCTGGCCCCACTGGTGGACCTCCTGATGGCCCCTGGGTTTTGGTCACTGTGTGACACTGAGTGTTGTACTGGGTGGGCCACTGGCCTGATCTAACATGGCTACTCTTATATTCTTACGTCTGGGGCAGTGATGCTCTGTCTTCTTGGTGCTTGGGGGCAACAGTGGGAGGGCTTCTGGGGTTCTGGCCCCACTGGTGGACCTCCTGATGGCCCCTGGGTTTTGGCCACTGTGTGACACGGAGTGTTGGACTGGATGGGCCATAGGCCTGATCCAACATGGCTTCTCTTATATTCTCACAAAGGCCTACCTAACCCCTGAATGATGAGCTCTGATCCAGCCCCCTTGCGCTGTGGTGCTCTGGATCTGAAACCCCCCCCCCCCCGTTCCTCATTCTCTGCCTCCAGCTCATGACGAAGCATCCGGCGAAGCGCTTGGGGTGCGGCCCGGAAGGGGAGCGAGACATCAAGGAGCACGCCTTCTTCCGCTACATCGACTGGGACAAACTTGAACGGAAAGAGATCCAGCCACCTTTCAAGCCCAAGGCTGTAAGTTCCACCACTCCCTCCCTCTCTCTCCCCGCCTTCTCTCTCCGATGCTCAGGTGCGCCCCCCTCTCCTCTCCCATGCAGTAACATGCCTTCTTTCCTTGAACAGCGGATACGTTGGCGCCAGCGAGGACACTTGCGGTGCCCCTTGGGAATGTTTGTGGGCCAGTCCCCACCCTCAACCAAACAGGGGTGCCTCTGTGTCTGGAAAGTGCCAGTCCAGAGTGCTGGGGCCAGGGGGTGAGGCTGAATAGATCTGTGCACAAAAGTCCTCCTGGTGATGGAAAACCGGGGTCCTGGCTTAGCTTTCTCCCTGAAATAATAGCTCTCTGTATGCAGGGGGTTTGTCCATAAGGAGCTGTTCTGTCCCCTGAGCCCCGGCCTACGTTCTGAAGTGGTGCAGTCCAGACACAGGCTCGACTTCATGGGCTGCTGCTATGGGGGAGCCAGGCCAGAGGGTCTTTCGATGAAGGCTCAGGTGTGGTTTGCGATGCACGGAATAGCAACCGGGGGGGGGCATTGTTCCCTGGAGGTGTGGGGCCTTCCTGGGATCCGGCACTCTTGGAGGTGAGTGCCTCGCCCCCTTTCCTGCCTTAGCTTTGTGTGTTTTAAGGTGTACCCTGGAAAGCCATGTGGTCAGCAACCAGGACGTTGGATGGGGAACGTCTGGACTGGGAACCATCCTTGAAACTTGAGCTGTGCCCATAGGGGGTGGTGGTGCTTCAGTTCACACTGCGTGGGCGTGCGTTCCAGGCCAAAAAGGCCCCTCCTTTCTCAAGGTCTTTTGTGCCTGTGACACCTCCAAACAGGCGGGGCCGTGGCCCTTCCAAACCATAGCCGGTCTTTCTCGTGGCGTCTAGCTACAGCGCCTGGGGTTTCCCGCCCCACATCCCGGGCTGCAATTTTCCTGCCCCTCTGGGCGGGGGGGGGACTCTGTCCCAGCGTCCTGGGGAGTGGGGTGGCGTCTCTATGACTCTTGGAGGTGAGTGCCTCGCCCCCTTTCCTGCCTTAGCTTTGTGTGTTTTAAGGTGTACCCTGGAAAGCCACGTGGTCAGCAACCAGGACGTCGGATGGGGAACGAGAGCTGGTTTCCGTCTGGACTGGGAACCATCCTCGAAGCTTGAGCTGTGCCCGTGGGGGGGGGGGTGCTTCAGTTCACACTGCGGGGGCGTGCGGTCCAGGCCAAAAAGGCCC